TTTACGAGCATAAACGGAATATTAATTGCTTTCCAGCGATCTATTAGTGCGTTAACAAAAGGCAAGAGCTTTTTACGCCGATTTCCCGAGTGAAAGGCGCGCGCGCGCGTGCACACATTAAACAAGCTTTGCCGTGGAAAGGGAAAAGCACTTGGGAAAATAACTAGGACTGCGCCGCGGATGTCGGAATTTTCGCGAAAGCTCTCCGAGCAAAAACACATCACTTCTAGGGACTTGAGTGAAATACCCTGTTATATTGTTACATCGCAGGAAACTAGTATAAATTTGCAATTTCATAAAGTTTCAGCGAAATCTCGATTCGAATCTTTGTGACAGCGACTCGCTTCCGCGCGTATACTTACTTTATAACATTTTAATCCGCGCGTATATAACAGAAATTTTCTTACGCATAATAGATTGAATTTCACGCGTGTATTAGAAGTCGGTAATTTATTTAGGTGGCCATAAATACTAATCAGCTTGTTGAACGATCCCCCCGCGCTGGAGAGCCTATATAGCTGGCGGCGCTACTCATTTTTCGCTCTATTAATAAAGCACAAATCGCTTCGGGAGAGAAAGAGCCCCCGCGTCAACAATGTCGCTCGCGCGTTCGCGTTCGAATTTCCAACTCATTTTCTTGTCTTCGCCCGTGTCTAAATGCGTACGCGTCCCTATCGCAGCCACATCTAAACGTCATTGTCGCAATTACTAAGATTGCCGCTACGGCAGACGTGTGACGACGATTGTTCGAGCATATATATATAACGCATGCAACCTTCGCCCGCCCAAGAAAAATCGTCTCGATGCTCTTCTGGCCAATTTTTGTCCCGGTACGTATATATTCGTTCAAAGTGGGCATCACGTGAGACCCGTCAAAAGCTGCCGCGAGATTCGTGACAATATTTACAAGTCGTCTGCGGCTCGAGGCACACTCGTGATCGCGACGAGAGACACAGCTATACATAAGTCGAGTCCTCGATACGAGTCCTCACGTCGCTGACGCTGCCGTTTATTATATGCACACTCGAATAAATCAGCGCAGCAGCGGCAACGAGAGCACATGTGCACGTATTATTGTGCAGTTGCAGTTACGGTTTCTCGCGCTAGCTTTTGTGTTATAATAAAGCGCCGATATATAGCTCGCGTGTACACACTACTATGTGTAGAATACGATCGAGCACGTGCTTGGGCGAGCTCTCCTCGGTCACACAGGCACTCCAAGTAGTCGCGACGCGTGCACCAAGTGCACATTCACATACGGAGTGGCATCACACGCATGTGTGTGTGTGTCGGGTGCGTTTATAAACAAACACGCTTAATATCGCCGAGCCCGAGTGTCGCGTTTATACGTATACGTACAATAATGATGCATAGTACTCTGCATTATATGGACACGCGTGCGCGAAACAGACAATGGCAATGAAAAGCTCGCGCGAGCTCGCGGATACGTGGCGAATTTAATACGCCTATAGACACATATGAGCACGCACGATCGCATCGCAATGATCGTCGCGCGGCCTAATAGTTATCCAATTGTGTAATCGTCGTAACAGCGCCGCGAACTTGACATTCGACGATGTATATGTAACGTCACACTCGCTCGTATACGAAAAATTCGATCTACGAGAGTGTGTGTGTGCGTATTGTAGCGTCGACGAAAACAGACGAAAAAAAAGCTAGTATCATACGCGGAACTTATTAAGAGCGATCATCGAACGCAACTCGACGGATCGTCAATTGCATTTTAATGACGGATGCTATTTGCGCACGCGCGCAAGCGGCCAATTTCATAATTGCCCCCGGGACACAGAGAAAGCATTTGAGTGCCAACTATAAGGAGATATACATACATATAGCAACTTATTTATGCATTGGTTCAATGACTGAAAACGCGATTATATTTTGCTGCTTTCGAGCCTTTACCTGATACTCTCCGATGCATATTACGAACTCAACGTATTCCAATAAACACTTATACGATATTTACCGATTAGGAGAAGTTGATATTGAAAATACGGAGCCCCTTGTAGAAATGCTAAACATTTTATGGGCAGTTTTTGGTCCATCTTAAATCATGGATCAACTTGGCTTAATATATTACATAGGGAGTCAATCATACACTCATCGACTTATACAATCATTTTCACTTTACCACTTGCAGATTTACAGAAAAAGGTACTCGCCACCTAGTGGTGAAGACTTGCAGTAGTATAATCATTTCAAAGTTATTTCTGTAAAATAAATAGACACGCGAGATTAAATTTTTATCTACTACCTGATAATTATAATTCGTTGCGGATTTCTTAATTTAATTAACTGTTACCTCGACTTCGCTTAACGCGCAAATTACGCAACCGGCAAGTATAGAGTCTAAATTTTTTTCTCTTTTTTTTTCAAAAAATTTCCTAATTGCGATAATCTTTCAAACGACGCGGTCTGAAATGGGTAATAAGCGGTGTCTTCGTCCGCGATGAGTGCAGCTCGTGTGGCACACGCGTATCGCGTTTACATATGCATTGTGCGCGACGTTAATAAGCTCATTTGCTACATTGTTATTCAATGTATCGCTCGTTTGTCGAGGAGCGGGAATAATTTTTTTTTTTTCATTCGCATAAACATGTTTTGGGTTACATACATCGTCGCAAAATTTTGCTACGAGCTCACCGAGACATAGCCAAGTTTATTTAGACGATGAAAATTTGAATAAACGTCGCGCGCGCGCGTGGGGGCTGAAACTCGTAAAAAATCATTCCAGCTGCCGCTGCCGCGCTGCTAGAGATACTATGAAAAAATAACAATACTCGGCGAGTGTATGGATAAGTAGCTGACCTTGCAGCCTCGTAAATACGCGTAATTTTCATGTAAGCACGTTTAGAAGACGACTGCACGCATAAGGAGATGCTTCGCAAAGCGACTTTCACGATCGCATGCATATTAGAGGAGGTGCGTGTTATAGCGTAATAAAAGCGTTTAATTTTCGATGCAGAAATATACGCGGCAAAAACAGATGTACACTGCAGGCTTGTTTTGATAGTGTACGCGAGTGCACGCGACACGTTAGTTTATAAGCTGCTGCTGCAGCTGATGCGACTTCTGTTTACTTACCTGCAGGTGATTGCGTTTCATCAATAAACGTATACGGGATCGTTCGCGAATTTGTGTAAGAACACGTTTTGACCATATGTATTTATGAAAATTAAACGCGTGTCAATAAACGTATAAATATCGAAAGAATCGAGGGGATTTAATTTTCGATAAAATTGCGCGTTATATTGTATTTGCTCGGTATATTCGATCAATTTTCATCCCAAATACAAAGTGCGTCATAGGAGTTGTTTTGTTGGTCGTCGGCTCTATTCCACACAAATAGAGCTGAAAATTATTTTTGGAATCTAATCTTCGAACGATCTAGGGCTGGCTTATTTATTATTTTTCGATGAAAATTTTGGGCAACCGGCTTTGTGCACCAGTTGCCGCTGCAGCTCTTACACGGCGCGCACTGATTTGCATATCGTGTTGGTCCAAAGGATTAACTTTGCTCGCGCGAAAACACACACCCTCGCCTAGACTACGAATTGCCCAGGAATCATAATGCTTTTAGCGCTGAAAAATTAATGCCGACTTCACGTGAGCGCGCATAGGCGAGTTTCTTCATCAAGTATCCATATACGCGCGCCGAGAACGCGTACACATACCATCTGTGTTTGTTCTGGGCAAATATTATCAACCCAAAAGAGTATATAACTGCTCGTTTGCGCGATATATACGACGTAGCGAATAAACATTTCTATTAGTCAACTCGATAAATAATTTCGTAGGTGCAGAGATGAGAAAAATTGAATTTTTCCCTGCGACGCGAGAGAGAGAGAGACTTGGTTGGACGTTATTATTATCGTTAACCGGGATCGCAGACGCGGCTTATTTCGCAAAATTAGTCAATTCGCTTTGCGCAGTCGTATATATAATAGCAATCGAGCGGCGGCCAAGCGACAAATCTCAGGATTAAAACGTAACGCGCAGATTATGAGTTCTCATTTTTCTCGCTTACAAAAGCGCACCTATAGAGCCACGACGAGGCCTTCGGTTTATTACTTTGCGAATCGATCCCTCGCACGCGCACACAACGCACTGGCGTGAAAGCCGATCTCGTTCGACCTACCCCATTAAAGTTCCCCTCGCCGGGGCCGTATCGCGCGACCGAAGGCAAGATGAAAAATTTGGTACAATTGCACGCGTGGCGCGCCTATGTCACGCAGCTTGGCATTGCTGTAAAACAGGCCACGATCAGGCGCGTCCGGCAATTTATTATTATTAAAACGCCGTGCGCCGGACAAAAGGAAAATCCGAACGTGGGGGTAACCGTATACGTTGTTTGTAAAGTGTCCGGCGCGTTTTATACAGAGACAAAAACGACGGCATGTCTTCATTAAGTCATATACGTGCTGCACTTACTTTGTTAGCCGGCGCGAAAAATTGGTCAATTCCAAGAGAGAGAGAGACAGAGATGAGAATCGTGAAACATGATTAAAATTGCCTACTTGACTGACACAAGAAGGTGCGCGCGCGCGTAGACTAAAACGAGCATAATTAAATTTAATCAAGTGTAAAAAAAGTCACTCTCCGTATGCACGAAGAGCACTAGCGACTCGTAATTAGGAATGGCATGTAAAGCAGCTATAACGAAACGCGACAAATTTTGCTCGCGCACAAAACAGCAGTACAAAGGACAGGATTGTTACGGACGAGATAAAAAAAAAAGAGAGAGAGAGAGAGAAGAAAGATCGCGTGACTAGGTATCGTTGCACCGACCGTGGCACTAAGGCAAGCTTAAATCATTTCCAAGGAAATCGCGTGAGAGGCGCGACAAAACAAAAAATACATGCAGAATAAATAAACGAGAGCTGCTAGAATAAATAAGGAATTTCAATTTTAAATGGAATCTCGAATACGGAAGGAAAGTATATGAGAATAAATTTTTTTTTCTTTTCTCCTTTTTGCAGACCGTGGATGCAGTCGGGTGGAGGATCTGCTGGTGGCGGTGGCCATCAGCCGACGAGCGGCGGTGGCGGCCAAGCAGCTAACACCACCACCGGCGGCGGCGGCACGGGCGACGATGAAGCCCCTAAAGATCCGGGGGCTCGAATCACTCATCAGTCCTACACAGAGAGCGACTTTGAAGGTGTGTGTACAAGCGCAAGCGTAAAAAAGCCGGCTCGATTTCAATTTTCCTCGATGAAAATCTTTGATATCCCCGGGATCGAGCACCGATTGGATTCATCGATTAATATCGAAAAAAAAAATTACAAAAAAAAACAAATGAAATGTCCGTTTGAACATCGCAACTTGTAACGGCTCTAATGAAACAATCGACAGATGTATTTTAAAAAATTAATCCGAATCGTGATTGAGCCATGTAACTTTTATCCGTGCACCGGGGGAAGCGATTAAACTTGATATCGCGTTTATGAATAGGGAAAAAAGCTCACACAGAGAGCTAGGCGCGCAGCGGCGGCGGCGGTAACAAAAAAGCACGCGTTGATTGCCTTTATAGGTCAGTAACGAATCCGGCTTACGGCTTGCAAAAAAGAAAGAAGTGCTTCGAAAATCATTACACAAAGCGAGAGGCGTCACAGCGTGCGTGCGTACATATGCCCCTACACGTTATATACGTGCAGCTAGGTTCACCTAATTACTCAACGATCGCACACGTGTGTGCGATGTGTGCATGTATGTGTGCGGCTGTGTAGCTGTCGCGTTATAGAGTACAATCAATGTCGGCGTGCACGTACACGCGCGTACGAGCGGCAGAGATATAGACTGAGGCTCGCGGAGAGCAGCCCTTGAATGCATCGCTGCTGCTGCTGTTCACGCGCGCGAGCTGAAAGCTCATTGAGTGGGAAAATATAAAGAGTCGTTTAAATCGATTTCGCTAAGGTAAGGAGTATGCCCGCGCCGCCGCCGCGTCATAATGCATTGATTTATTTTCTATCGCTGCTGAACACAGAATGAGAGAGAGAGAGATAAATATAGCAATTTCTGATGGCTGAGCTTTTCGTTTGATCGTCGTGCGCGCAGAGGCTCGTTGATGTCGCGCGAGGTCACGAGCTGGCAACAATTTTTTCGCGCGCGCACACGCAACAACACAATGCAGCATTTTTCTCAACGAGCTCTAGCTGCTGCTGCTGCTGCTGCTGCTGCTCTCGAGTCAGCTTGTCAAGTATCAATCCCACGGACAAGTTTAAAAGCGAGTTTAGTTTTGATCACTGGAAAATTTCCTAGCTAATTATCGGGTGGATTTTCAATCGCAGAGTTTATGCCGCTGCGCGCTTGCAATTTATTTTCACGATCTCCGATGCAGATAGAGGGAACGAGAGAGAGAGATGAAAGTAAATGAGAATTCGTTTGATAATATTTCCTAATTGGACAGGTTGCGAAACATAATTTTTCCATCGAAAAATGTATAATTATCACGGATGTGGGTTATACAGCAGAGAGAGAGAGCTCGTACGAGATAGATAATAATAAAAAAAAAAATAACCAAATCACGCGGGGCCGAAGATTGATAGCAATCTAAAAAAGCTATAACATAGTTCGACGTCGTCGTCGCACAGCGGCCGCACACAGCTTCCGCATTAACTTGGGCCGCGTACACATACGATATTACGATAATGTATTAGCTAGGCCGCAGCGGCGGCGCAGAGCTTTCACAACAATAAACGCGGGCAAATTTGTAGGTCACCGAGCGCACACGGTCTTCGTGGGTGTTCATCTTCCGGGCGAGCGACGACACCGTCGACACCACAAGCATCACCACTCCCGGGGCAGCAACGGTTCCGCCGGCAAAGAGGAGCCCGACATCGACAGACCCAGTAAGTATCGCACCAAACGTATACATTCCCACGTGTGCTCCATATTAATGGCTATCTGGGTTTTATACACGCGTGAGATACATACCGATAATAAATCATATTTCTTGCAACCCGAAAATCAGCGTAGAGAGAGAGATTCATCAAGCTAGAACATTAGCGAGAGATTTGTTTTTAATCGGCATTCTTTGACTCACACGTATGCAAATAAGAAGAAGCATTATGGCCTCGTGCCAAGCCGCTTGAGTGCACACACACACAAACTTGTAATACACATAGTTTTTTTAGACGAGTGTCTCAGTTGCAAGCGGTTATTCCCCTGACGTTATTTTTTTTTTTTCATATTCTCTAAACGACGAGCGCACTTGTGCTCACTCTCGCGGTGCGTCTCATATATATTTCAGCGCGAGGTGCACGTAGCCAGCGCCTAAAATAAGATCATCGCTCGGCGTTTAACAATATCAAGTCCGCGCGAAATTCGCGCGGCTTCGTTATGCTGATAAACCTGGATGTAAATGCCTCTCGGATCAGCGCGAGGTCAAGGGTCAACGTCGAGCAATTAACTTCGTTTCTGCTGTTCGTATATATACAGTGTTCGCTTCTCGGGTTGCATAAATGTACGTATGTGTGTATGTGCGAGTGCAAATACACGTTTGCAAGCTCGGCAAGTCGAAAAATCCAATAAGATGAGGGAAAAAAAAATCATTATACATCGTGAGCGGAGCCGCTGACTCAGTGCGGCGGTACAAGCTCGGCTGGAAAATAACAACTTGCGTAACTTGGACGCGAAAAAGACTCGAGTCCCGACGACGTCGTTTTTCCAAGGGATCGAGGCTAAAAATGTGCGCCGCGCATAGGGCTGCTCTGCACACATCTGCCTAATCTCCGCTGTAACACGTATCCGAGTGCATTAGCCCACGAAAATCCGGCAATTTTGCAATTGTCGTGTATAATGCGCGCGCGAGGTCCCCTCGGCTGGTACGCGATAAAGCCTAGCAGCGGCGAGCGCCAGGCATTAGTGCAACGAGAGCTCGCGGATCGTCGCGAGTCGCAATTATTCCGTCTCTCTCGCTCTTCCTCTCTGTGTATATCTCGTTGTCTGCTTACAAACACAAACACACTCGTCCACTACACTCGTCGGTGTTGGTGGTGGTGGTGGTGCTCGTGATCCGATGAGCTGCCGCCGAGCGTTGGGCGAACGAGTAAGCCACCCCTGCGACTGTGAATTATGCGTGCTCGATATTGCAGGACAATTACTGATGGCACGCAGGGGTCGACTCGCTAGTATCTGCGATTCCGACGGCGAGTTGATATGTAAGCTATAGCTTTCCAGTCTCAGCTACTGCCTGATGTCGTTATATATTTACCTACTATCCTATATATATTTTTAATTAATGCACGACTCGTTCAATGTACTATATATATTTTGCCGCTGTCTGTTGTGTATGTGTCACAGTTGTATATTTGTAGGTGGACTAAATCCATAAAGTAGTTTGAATTATGTGCGCGAATTTCACACGCGTTTCTCGCACTTTACGGTCGTGCAAAATTTCATTCTTGGCATGTATTATTCTTCGACTCTTTCACTGCAACTTCATCATCATCTTCAAATTCATACATCGAGCTCGTAAGTCGTTAGTGCGTTAGTCACAAATTCATCTCATATTCTCTTCTTTTCGAGTCATCATAAATTTTCGCATTATGAAATTTTTCTCACTCTCATCATCTTTTTCCTCGCTATTATTACTCAATCATTATCGCTCTTTAATTACAAACGTACTTTGTACACTTCACGCTATTAGATTATTCATGATCATTCATCTCATCGCTTATTTCTTATTGGCAGCAAATTTTAGAAAAGCATTTCATGGCATCGAGTCCATTTGTAATTTATTCACTCATTTACTCATCAAGCCATTCTTTTGAACTTAATATTTTCAATCACGGATAGATATAGTGCTTTCATAATAAATAAAAAAAAATTCATTTTTATGAATAATTACATTCTGTGATCATACTTGATCACCACACTTACGGTCGCTACTTTGTAAAAGTTTTCATCAAATGTATGTCGATAGAATTCTATATGCGTAGTCAATGTTCCGTGCATCAAATGCTTCTGTTTGAGATACGATAATTGTGAAACTTTTTGATGGAATTAACGCGCTGAATCTGAATTTCTTATTTCCAGTCACACCACCTGCACAAAGGGTGCAATTCATTCTGGGAGAAGAAGTTGGCGACGATGCCCACGAGTCACATCCACTTTTCTCCGAGATGGAGGAACTCTGCCGGGATGGCGACGAGTTGGAGTGGAAAGAAACGGCCAGGTGATATTTTCTTTTTAGATTCTTAGCCGTCAACGTTTATTCGTGATTTATGTAACGACGCGTAGAGCTTTAATTAAAAATTCCGATCGATCGAAACATTTTGTTGTTGTGGACGTGTGCTGCAATGACACGCGGATAGTTTTAAGAGTTAATCAAATGCTATAGGTATTCTTACGCTCGATTTACTTCGTAGATGGATCAAGTTTGAGGAGGACGTGGAAGAAGGTGGAAATCGATGGAGCAAACCTCACGTAGCAACGCTATCTTTGCACTCGCTTTTCGAATTGAGAAGTCTACTACTCAACGGAACAGTCATACTCGATATGGAGGCCAGTGGCTTGGAACAAATAACGGATCTAGTTCTCGACAACATGGTCAGCAAAAATGACTTGTCGATCGACGTGAAGGATCAAGTGAGTTAGAGAACTCAAAATTCACCGACAACAGATTTAAATACATGGGTTCGTTTGACAGGTGCGCGAAATTCTCTTGGTCAGACATCGACATCAATTTGAAAGAAAAAAAGAGCACAACATGTCAAGATTGCCGATAATACGATCTCTCGCTGAAATCGGGCGCAATCATTCGTCATCGAAAAGTAAGTATGATCCTGGGTCTAGCTTTAAAAATTATGATTTTCTACGTATTAAAACTTCTAAATCCTAACAAAACAAATTATGCCTTGCCAACTGAACCAATCGACACTCAACCTCAAACGAAATTTTTCAACACGCAGGCCAAGAGATTGCATCTCAGGAACAAACCTTACAAGGAGTAACACACTATTAATTTGATTTTTTTTTATTATTTAACTTTTATTTGTATTTTAGTTTTGTTTTACTCTTTGATTTGATTATAATTTTATGATTTATTAATTTTTAATTGGTTGTTTTTCGTATGTTTTGGTTCAAGCCCATCGTCTCACGACGATGGCAGGATTTATTTTTTCTTTTAATACAAAAATAACTCACGACACTTACCCTAACACGCAAACGATTCCCAAAAACTTTCAGATTGTGGTTTCGCATGTGGTATACAATCCTTGTTGACAACAGATTTCCAGGAGCGACAAACAAATAACGGTGACGCTTATATGCCAGCCGTCCCTCGGAGTACTAGCTGTCCCAATTCGAATACAGCTTTGCTATCCAAAGAGGCGAAAGATCTTAAAGGCCCTTACCTATTGGTTCCAGGTATAAATCAGGCCACTTGTTAATCAAAAGGTGTCCCTCAAGGCTACTGTTGCTTTTCTAGGCTTCCGAGTCTTAAACTAAAATCCAGCATTGATCGGTTTTCAATCATAAAAGTGTCTGCATTGCCAGCATTTAGGACACAAGCTTTATTTTGTATTGCTTAGGCTTCATTCCTTCATTTGAAAAATTTAACAAATATTATAATATGCGCCCAATTCCAATGTAAGCCAAGTGTAAGCTAGTTTTGAGTGCTTAAAGCAGCGGTGATAGATGTAAGCTTGAAATATTAATATCATCAATTGATTTCGAAAATTCCATCGCCACTCTCCATTGTGAATAATATCCCACCAGCATTGAAAATGGTTATTATTTAAGAAATTATCTAAGAATATTCAAAAGATAATTCTGTGATATAAAAAAAGTAATGCACATGCAATACCTTATTTGATAGATGATATTGGGCCTCCCATCGTGGTCGGTTTCACAACGTGGTTCGCAATGTGTCCGTTGAAAGGTTAGGATTAATGTTCAAGAATTTCCAAATATTTTTCTGTGTTTCTATCTATTTTTTATCTCTTTATGGTATTTCACGTCAAAGGCCAATTATTATAGTAATTTTACCACGATAATCGTTGATTTTTAATTGATACTTTTTCATGATAAATAATATTATGAGGCATTGGTAAATATTTACTTTTTCTACAACTACATATTTTAGATAATAATCACCACCCTTTCGATTTTTGATTTAAAATTCTTCACCGAATGTATAATATATCATAATTTTCGTTATTTTTTTCACCATTTCAATAGAAAATACGCTTTTCAATTTTTTTATGAGCGGGTTGATCATAATGAGCAAAGCACATTCACATTACACACATTACGAATAATTTTATATGGAATTTCTTTTATTAATTTTAAATTATATTATTCTTCTATATTCGCTGTTTTTATTATCTTGATGTATCTGCATAAAAATGGTACTAAATTAAATTTCGTTCAATTCACAATTCTGCATTAATTTTCTATTTCAAATTAAAAAATTAATGCAAAATTATTGAAACTTTTCTTCTCGGTCTTCAAAAATTTAATTGAATTCAGTTTATCAAATTTTGTTTTTTTTTCTCACCAATAAAATTCCGAATTACAACATAAAAAATATCATTGAACGTATACGCAATGTGTAATTGAAAGAGGAATCATAAGCGGTCATGAATTTGGTGCTTTATAGTGGAAGAGTCGAACTCAGCACCAGCTATAGCTGCTACTGCGGCAGGTCAGGGTGGTGGTGCTGCACTTAATTCCAGCGGACGCTTTCTAACCATACCTGGTAATTTTGATGATTCGAAATAATACAGCTTATCCTATATCATTTAGCAAAGACATTGGCATTATCGTAACCTTTTAGAAGAATTTTAGATTCTTACATCAACCCGAAAACCCTCGATGTCAAATTATTGCTTCAAATGATTAATGTCCTAAAAATTTGAAGTACGACAAAAAATTGCTTCTTAACAACAACTTTGCCATTACATTAAAATTTAAATTTAATTCAAAACGAGTAATAACTACTTATCATAAAAATTAAAATTTTTATCTAAAAATAAGCTATATTTTTTATGTCGTGCTTCAACTTGCTATTAAAAATAAATTAGTAAATTGTATGCTACGCATTTCAAGTAAGCATTATTGAGTAAGAGCAATAGGTTAAAAATAAACAGGTACATTGCATGTTAGAAATAGCGCCAATACTCAGTGACTAGATCATTTTTGTTTCAAATTCAAATTAAAAAATATATATTCGTAAAATTACTTAATGTATGTATCAATGACTAACATCCATCAGTTGTCAATAAAATTACACCTTTTTAGGTCAAGAGCCGACGCAAACAGGTATGGATAGAAGTCCTAGTTCAGTTTCTATCAGCCGAAACCATAGTGCCAATGCTTTGGAAAATGGTGATGCAAACCATAAAGTAAGTTATTTATTATTTGCAACCAATCTACGGATGTCGAAATAAATTGTACTGAGATTTTTACCCTATTTTTTGTAGGGCAATGTTCATTTCATGCGTAAAATTCCACCAGGAGCAGAAGCTAGTAATATTTTAGTCGGTGAAGTAGAATTTCTCGACAAATCTATATCAGCGTTTATCCGTCTCAGCCAAGCGAATATAATGGGTGATTTAACGGAAGTTCCAGTACCGACGAGATTCATATTTATACTATTAGGACCTATGGTATATAAAATGTTAATTTTTATATGTTTTCGAAATGAAACACTTAATTTAACATGTTGCAATATTTCAGGGTGGAATAGCAAGTTTTCACGAAATTGGCCGTGCAATGGCCACCCTCATGTCTGATGAGGTCTTCCACGAAGTAGCGTACAAAGCAAAAAATAAAACTCATTTGTTATCAGGAATCGACGAGTTCCTCGACGCTGTTACCGTTTTACCGCCAGGAGAATGGGATCCTACCATAAGGATAGAGCCACCTGCTGCTATACCTTCTCAAGTGAGTATGCATAAAATAGGTGCAAAGCGTGCCACTGCGGCTTTTCTGCGACATAGTGTACATTTAAACCGAGTATGAGCATTAATTTTCAATACAACTTTGAATCTTGTTTATCTGATAAAAAAAACATTAAATGGTTAAGTTAAAAACAAAGAATGATAATGACAAATTCAACTCATTTTCGTTTTCATATTGTGCCTTCCTTTTATTTTACTTGGTAATTTTATATCATTTAGATACAAAAACTTGATAAAAAAAATCTTAATAAAAAAAGTATGAAATTGTTTCATATTTGCTGCAACCATATAGACACTAATGTATATAAAAAAGAGTGTTTTCTTATAGAATGCTCGTTCCCTACTTCGTTATTATTTACCGGAGTTCAAAAGTTTATTAAGAATATTAAACTTATTTTACATGATCTGAAAATTAAAATTTTATTTTTAAATTTAAGGAAATAAGAAAAAGGCCAAAGGATGAAAAAATTAAAGAAGAGGTAGACGAAGAAGCAGATGAACAAAAACTTCGAGAAGAATCAGGATTATCTAGAACCGGTAAATTATTTGGCGGTCTTGTCAACGACATAAAACGGAAAAAGCCGTTCTATCTATCTGATTTTAAAGACGCATGCTCTCTTCAATGCATTGCATCGTTCATTTTTCTTTACTTCGCCTGTCTTTCTCCAATAATAACATTTGGAGGCCTCCTTAGTGAGGCAACTGGTAAAAATATGGCTGCCATGGAATCTCTAGTTTCTGGTTTTGTTTGTGGAGAAGGATATGCATTATTCTCGGGTCAACCATTGACTATATTAGGATCTACGGGTCCTGTTTTAGTATTTGAATCGATAGTCTACGAATTCTGCCAAAAATGCGGTTGGCACTATATGTCATTCCGATTTTGGATTGGAACATGGATGGCTGTCATTTTAATTGTCCTTGTAGCAGTAGATGCAAGTGCATTAGTCTGTTTCATTACAAGATTTACCGAAGAAAATTTTGCCACATTGATAGCATTTATTTTTATTTATAAAGTAAGCTGAAACTCCGGAAATGACAAATAAAAAATTATTGCTTATGAAATAGTTTTAATAAAAATTATCATTTACAGGCTATCGAAAACGTTATGTCAATTCGTAAGAAATTTCCTGTTAGTACCGGTCAAAATCTTGGTAATTCCTCTTGTTTCTGTGGACCTCCCGGCACATCGTTAAACAGCAGTTATTCGACAACGAACAATCAATATTCAAATATCAATTGGGCATCTTTAGATAAATACGCATGTCAGGTATATAAAAAACTTTTGAAAAATAACTATACTTTAAACTGTTGTCTTAAGGTTTTTTGAAATTTTATAGGCTGCAAATGGCACAGTGATTGGAGAAAATTGTTTTTCACCACCTCCCGTACCTGATGTGTTCCTAATGTCAATTATTCTCTTCGCGGGTACATTTTTAATTTCAATTCACTTAAAAGATTTCAAAAATGCTCTTTTCTTCCCCGCAAAGGTAATTAAAGTTTAAAACTCATTTAAATTAAAATCCCCAAGAAATTGTCGAAATCATTCTCATACACTTATTTCAGGTTAGACAAATTATTAGTGATTTTGCTGTTATCATTGCTATCTTTTCAATGACGGCTCTCGATGCTTCCGTTGGTATCAACACACCCAAATTGGAAGTACCTTCTGAGTTCAAGCCTACTCTTGACGGACGTGGATGGATAATAATGCCGTTCAATCATAATCCATGGTGGAGTGCTGTTGTAGCAGTTTTACCAGCGTTGTTGGGGACTATTTTAGTTTTTATGGATCAACAGATTACTGCAGTTATTGTGAATAGAAAAGAAAATAAATTAAAAAAGGGTTGTGGTTATCACTTGGATTTGTTCGTATTGGCTCTACTCATTCAGCTATGTTCCTTCATGGGATTACCGTGGTTCGTAGCAGCCACAGTACTTTCGATTAACCACGTGAATTCTTTGAAGTTGGAATCTGAATGTGCGGCTCCTGGAGAAAAACCGCAGTTCTTGGGAGTTAGAGAACAGAGAGTCACAGCCATTTTAATATTTTTAATGATTGGTTGTTCTGTGCTGCTGACTCCCATGTTGAAGCACATACCGATGCCTGTACTATTCGGTGTGTTCCTATACATGGGAGTCGCGTCTTTGAAAGGATTACAATTTTTCGATAGGATACTCATTATATTCATGCCTCAAAAATACCAACCAGATTACATGTTCCTTCGGCAGGTAATGTCCATTATATGACAATTTTTATCCTTCGATTGATCGAAATGATTTTCTATTCAAGGTACCAATTAGGAAAGTTCATTTGTTTACTGCAATTCAACTTGCCTGCCTCATCTGCCTTTGGACCATCAAATCATTCAGTGTAACCTCGATATTTTTCCCATTAATGGTGCGTAAAAAATATCGCAATTTAATTATGTTATGAAGCGAGTCCTCACGAATTTTAATTACTGTTTTCAGCTGGTAGTCATGATTGGAATAAGAAAATCATTGGATTTAATTTTCACGCAACGAGATCTAAAAATTTTAGACGATGTGATGCCGGAATACCACAAAAAGCACGCCGACGACCTTCGCCAATTGGAAAATGGCGAGGTTAGCACAGCGACTAAAATACTAAGAGCCATCATTTGTAAATAGCATATGAGTAGTGACCCCAGGCCTAAACCATGCCCTGTGGTCACAGTAGCTCTATGCGATAAAGCAACGCTTTACGATGGGAACACTTAATTTTAGCACAACGATTTTTTCCGTTAATTTTCACTATAATTCTTTGCTATTATTATTCTATTTTTGGTGTACATTTTCTTTAGATTAATATATATATTCATATATAAAACACAAAAGAGAACGTTAACAACCATAAAAAGCACAATAAAAAAAGAAATTAATTAAACAATTTTCAAAATAAGAAAGAGAGTGTATAATTAATAAATACTAACGATGGATTTGTAATATTAACTTTCCAAGTGTCTGAGTACACATTCTATGCCAGATAATATTGATGTCTAGTAAAGACTCAATTTAAAAATATTAAACAGTATTAGAAATAATTGTTGAAAAATGATGATAGTAAATGACTTTGAAGTATGTAGCATTGGCTGTCATAGACGTTCATCTTTAAAATGTGCCAACAACAAATATTTTTGAGCTAATAAAACTATATTTATTAACTCAGTTCTGCTAGGAGAATGATTTTCGTAGCGCACGAGACAAGATTTGTAAAATTTTTAAACTAGCTAAATAATCAGTAAAGACAAAAGTGCTAATTGAAAATTATTCTGTTCGTGGGTGGATAAAGTATGACAGTATCGCGTTTTAACAAAACAGCTTTAAGGTAGAAATTTACTAAACTTTTTGAAATTAATATTTTTGAAACATATTTTGATGTTGCTATAGAATTTTATACTTCAGATTTATTGTAATTCTAGAGAAATTTTGATAAAGTAATTATATTGCACATTAAAAAAACAATTTGCTAGTTGGTATACATTTTTCCACTATAACGCGAAACTGTCATGATTAAGAATTTTTTAAAAACGCAATATTTCATTTTCTACTGAAAAATTGTAATTTGTTGATTTGAACGCAATGTGTTTAACGGAGGGAATGGGGTCGTGCATAATGAGCAAATAATTACACATGGATGTGTCATTCACCAAGATTATATACACACTTATACACAAGTATTTTTACATGCTCGTGTTATTTTTGTCATGTAAATACACTGTGAAGTTTATCACCCAACTGTATTTTCGATGTCAGTTCCTTTAAAATTTTGTAGCACCATTTTTCCTTATTAAGCATTCAATGGAATCATTGAGCTTGATAAATGCGAGTCATTTCCATAACAACAACATTTTCAACCAGAAGGCTTGAATTATTTGCTAATAGTTGATTTGAGTTTGTCAGCTAAATCGTTCCATTGAAACATATATGTGCGTTTCTCTAAGCTTTTCTCAAGTTGTGAACATAAACTTGCTACTACCAAATGACCTACTGTTGTTGGATCTGTCATATTTTGAGGTACGCATTTCTTATTTTTCTGATAATTTTTCTACGAGTTTTAGTTTTGTTATAATTACGCTCACAAACACGCACAGACACTTAAGAACACAAAAAATAGTTAGAAAAAAACTCGACAGAAATCATTCGAATAAAAAAAAATCATTCAGTAATCTTCATCGAAATCATGTATTTATAAAATCTCTATTGGGCATAAAAATAAGCCTACGATCACTGCACTTGTGTCACTGATGACAATAGCCTGTCAGAAGTTGAAAAAAAAAACATCACCGAGCAAGATGATTAGTCAATGCGATAATCAACCAATGCTCCTTCTAGCGTCAATCATTGGTATGTTAAGTAAGACAATGCACCTACCTTGTAGAGTACTTCATCTGTACTGGCATCGAACTACTTTGCATTTCGCCCTATTCGTCTCACAATGCATGGCCTTCAAATTAATCATTCTCCATCAACATTGAACGAACTTATCTAACCAGTCATGACTTCTTGGCTTCATTGTTAGGAACACAACGAATCGCTTGGATTTGCTTCTGCCGGTAACCTGCAGATTCCTTTGGTCAATGGAAATATAATGAAAATACCGCTTACGAGCATTAACATCAGTGAAGAAGTAAATAAAACAGGAATTTGGCAACAAGTGAATGAGGAAAATGACAAGTCCAAGCAACCAAAGATGAACAAGTGAGTTGTTCGATTGAGATATTGCAAGCAAAGACTATTTTAACAAAGTGTACGAAAAATTAATGTAAATAAAACAAATTATAGTGTAGGTAAGCAGAAGAAGCATTCGAAAAAAGACGCAGCCCTTGCGTCCGATGAGACTACAAGACTTACCACAATGACAGAAGAAGAAGAAGAGGACGGTGGAATATCGATCAAGGTGAAAAACGTTAGCAACTCTAAATTTTAAGAATCACCATCACTACTTATAACAACAACTACTACTACAACTACAACAACCAAGATTATTTACAATAACACGGCAAGAGCACCATACACCGGCATGCGACTAAACCCTATGTTATTTAACACGGCTGTGAGTAATAATTTCGCGAATCTGAGCGGAAGCTTAAAAACAACACATGGCAGCTACTTTTAATGATTGTTGTAGCTTTATTTACAGCTTTTTCCAAATGAAAATTTCTTTTTTTACTGCAATGATTGATAACATATTATTTTTGTGTTTAAAACAATTCATTTCTTTTATCCATTTGTTATTCAGTTTAATCCGCTTAACTTTCAATCCATTCAAAATTCCTTGTTAACCTTTTATTTAACATATGAGTTGATATAAAACAAAAGGAAAGTTGTTAAATCGTCGTTAAAGTCTTTTCGAATAAAGCTTAACTTGATGCCAATCGTTTATTATATTTTAAATGCGTCCATACTTACAGATACGTATAACAAAAATACGATATGTTTGTTTCGTCTAAAATACTTCAAAATAAATTTTACGTACGTTTTGGAGCTACATACTGTACATATTATTATTTGCGAATTAAATTATTGTTGCTTCGCTATTGTGTGTAGTTGCTTCAACTAAGTGTATATGTTAAAACGCACCAAAACACCCGTAATATATTACCAACCAAATTAGCAACTAGTCACTAGTTTCATAAAAAATCCATTTTTCGATCACGAAATTTCATGTGACATTAATCTTGAAATAGAATTCAGTAAATTGTATAAAAAAAAACCTATGTTACCAAGGTATATATTATTGTCATTGAAAATTTAGAAGACCAAAAGTTGATTAGATCACATTTTCATCATCTTCGCCAATTGTCAACATGAAGTATTTTAATCATTGTCATATGTACTAGTCAATAGGAAACGCTTTTTCATTCCAGGTTGATTTAATACGATCAAAAGATACTAGTCCTCACAAGGTAAATGGTACCACTTCCGCCGAGACTTCCGTCTAATTCGTAGCAAGCATCAAGTATAAAAAATAAGCAGTAGATTGAAATTTCTATAAAATATTAGATTATAAAAACTAAATGAGAAAATTAAAAAAAAAATGAAATTGATAGTACACGTATTTGACTTGATCTCCGAAGTCTTGTGAGATTTTATATGTAATTAAATATATTTGAAGAGTAATTTAAAACAATATAATGTTAGCATGGACTAGCAAAAAAGAACGAATGAAAAAAAAAATACTTAAAGACGTGTTGAAGAGATTATTTCAATTGTAGAATGTAGTTGAAAGCATCACACCTTTTTATTTTAGAATAAAATATTGGACTGAAAGCACTTAAGAAAAACATTAAAAATAGATATCCAAAAACACACATTTTTTATCAATAGATAATGTCACGTTTGAAGCATCGTCGTGCGTATGTGCATTTAAAAAAAAATTATTCGTAAAAATAATTTTACAATCATTTCACAATCCAAGTATTATTTTAGATAACCAATATTAATATCGTTAGACAAGTTATACTGTACCAAAAGTGAAAGTATATATCTGCTAATGTTTGAGAAAAAAATTGTACATAAAAAAAAGACCCTATAACTGAGGACATAATTTGTGCACCACGTAAAAAGCTAAAATTTTAATTTAAAAATAATACCCTCATTACATATTCAAAACAGTGAACTTGAAATCGTATTAAGTAATTTTAATACATGTTAGCGATGATTGAATAGTAGTCAATTTACATTGCATTTGACACAAAAACGCACATTTTTATCGACACTGCGCATGGATTTCACGCATTTATCTGAATAAAAGTACATAAGTTTAATAATATTGTATAATCTTATATTCGTTAAAATATATATTGTTGAATGTTTGTATTTAAATATGTTTTATTTTATTGTAAAATCAATATTATATTTGTCTAGTGAAAGAAGTGTCATACTCATTGATTGGAATTATATTCAATGTAATGCTTCGACACTGTGAAAATGTTTTTAGCAATAATATGTTGCAAAAGGAGCGTTGGAAATGACTCAACGTAATGCCAAAAAACCCCAAATATGTGCTTCCTTCATTAAAAAAATCTATTAATTATTTCATAGTTTGAAATGTCTTAGTATAATTGCATATACTGATACCACGAGTTAAAAATAGTACAGATCGTCAAGGGTTATTGAAACATATTTTGCCTCGAGTCATCTTGTGATTTTTTAGAAATTGAGTGATAGTGGTACTTCGAGCTGACAATATTAGTTACTTCAGAATTACTCGAAAATAAGTCACATAAAACATTAAGATTTTTCTAGAATTCAGTGTAAGTGACGAATAATTTATTGGGTGAATTTAAAGTGAAAAGAGCAGAAAAAAATGAAAAAATTGATGTAATACGATTTCATAAAGTTTTATCAAAGTGCAAGCGATACTCCAAAGATGAATGCTCATCATTAAAATTTTTTTATAAAAATTATTATATGAAAGAACACGTTTGTAACAATTGAAATTGTAGTATGCATCTAAGAATATCCGTACGTAATGAAACTTTTTGTTCGAAGTTTGGAAAAAATTGGAAATGAAGGAAATATGTAAATGAGGATGGAAATGAAGTTGTGATTGAGCTTCAATTTTTTGCATACTAAAGTAAAATATACCGTGCGATGTTCTGAGACACATATTTTTTAATTTTTACTAAAATTTTTTCTTGTTTTTTTTTTATACATTTAAGGCTATGCGCGTCTATTTGTAATTGATACGCAAAGCATTTGAACGTGCGTAATAGCTTGAGATACATAAAATACCATAAAGTATAACTTTTTTAAGGACACATCATGATTACAAGATTATAATTATCGCTAATACACCATTTTGAATTTGAGTTTTAGACAATATACATTTTAACATAAAAATAACGTTTGTAAATATCAGTTGCAACAGTTCAGTACGTACGCAACTAACATATAACTTGTTCAAATATGAGTAGGATATGCTATGAGAACAAGAAAAATGGATTATGAGAATAGGCAAATCCTTTACCCAAAGAGCTAAAAGAAGTTCCACTTCGAAATTGTGATCAATTGTGACCGCTGAAAACAAAAGCATTACCTTTGTTAATCATTTAATATTTGGCATAATGCATAATTTTCAAGTCTGATATGAGCTTGGCATTTTTGGTCATCTTGTGTCTATGTAAATAAAGTGAATGTATAGTTTAGATCACGAACAAGGTAAATGTAATAAAATTGATACAAGCTTAATAACATTATATTTTTTTCAATTCCCACTCCGTTACTTCGCTTCCTTTGAATTTGGCCCTATTGTAATACTAGTTTATGCTTTAGATAGCGGGTCGGTCACTTTCGCAACCGTGCATTTTGTGGTTTTCTTTAAAAAACTCAAGTATTGAATGAAAGAAAAATTATAATAACATCACGTAAAAGCTGCTTTAACCTTCCGAGTATAGAATACGTACGTTTCAAAGTCACTAAAAAATTATTTATAAAAAAAATTTTAAAAAGTTGTTTATTTTACTCAAGAAGGGTAATAATTCATGTAAATTTTCAAATAAATAGACAATTAAATTTAATTAATTAATTTTTTTTAAGGGTCTATAAAAATATTCCAGTAAAATGAATGATGTTACATTTTAAAAGCTTTGTCGGTACAATTAATTTTGAAAATTGATTTTTATTACATGGATATAATGATTTCAAAATTTATTTTTCTTTAAAACTATGAAGTTCTGAAGACAAATCAATAAATTACTATCAACAACACATACACAATATTTTATAACTCAAAGTATGTAATGTAATTTTATAAAAGCATTCAATCTATTGTTTTTATATTTTTTCATTCAAATGTTTTTTTCAATACATGTTTAGTTACTAATTTTTTTATAACTATCCCACTTCATTATCTTCAATTTTTTTTGTAGAAGAAGAGGAAGAAATATTCCTTAATTTTCGAGAATTCTCTTTATGATCTTTAAAATTATAAATGGAAATTTATAATGTAATAGACAAGGCTACGGTATCTGTTAAAACATCATTCGATGCATTAAGAATATTGAATATAAAATTGAAAAGTTGATGTGCTTTTATCAACGATGAAATCAATTAATCGAATACTTTCTATTTGTAGAGTGAAAATAAAGTTAAGTTCTTGATCAAAATTCACCATGAACAGTAGTTTTTTGAAGAATCTTAACTTTCCAAAAGTTAAAAGCTCTCAAGAATTATTAAAGCCTCTATTTTTTTTATACAAATGCCATGGAATGTTTCCCTATAAAATTCGAAAAGATCAGATCACAATATCCAAGTTTAATCTCGCTTACTCTTTATTAATTTCTATTGGCTCAATAATTTTGTATATCATAATAATGTATCAATGTCACGTTTCCAATGGCATAGAATTCGATACTGTCGAGGGGCTTTTACAATTTGATTCTTACTTTGCCTTGGCTACTTTCATTTTGATAGCAACGAGCTGCAAAAGCAAAAGTATGTTAACATTTTTGAAGAAATTTCTTGAAGTTTCATCGATGCTAAACGAAAATGATCTGAAACAATTGGCCATAATAATTTATTTGAAAGATGCAGTAGGATTTTTCTTTCTCATTGGACAAGTGCCAAATACGTATTCAAAAATACCTGCTCAAATGCTTGGTAAAATTTATGGAGAATTAATAACTCTTATAGTTTTTTTGAGTAACAGTCAATACAGCAACTATATATTGATATTAAAAAGATGCTTCAGTCGCATTAACAACGATTTAGAAAGTATAGTATACAGCAATAATTATGGCCATCTCGATCCAATCAAGTCGGTAATGAAACCGTTACAGGTGAAACATTTACAGCTGATTAAATTGAGAATAATTCAACAAAAACATCACAAGGTTTGTACCGTAATGAGACTTTTGAATTCGGTCTTTGCATTGCCCGTAATAGCCACGGTTATCATGACATTCGCCGAAACGACGTTTGGCTTGTACTTTTTTCTGCTGCTCAATCAAGGCAAAAAAAGCATCGATCTTGAAAAGCAAATATGGTACAATTATTTTCTAACGTCAGTCACTTATCACTTCCTCAAACTGACGATTTTAATCTGGATTTGTCAAGAAACTAAAAATGAAGCGTCAAAAACCGGGATTATCGTTCACAATATCATACTGCGCACCGATAACGAAGAGCTGCGCGCCGAGTTGAACATGTTTTCGCTACATCTGCTGCAATCGCCCAACGAATTTTCGTCAAAATGCATAAAGATGGATGCGCAACTCATAACTGCGGTGAGTCATTATCAATATATCGACAACATTTTCAGATAATTTTCATCGATTGACGGAGGTATTTGTTTAGGTCGTCAGCGGCATAACTACGTATTTGCTCATATTAATGCAATTTCTAAAGATGAAAGTCGAACCGCGCGCATCCTAAATTAATATTAGTTTGACGAATAAATTATAATTCATTTTTTAATAATATTTTTATTATTACATACGCACTTGGTGTGTATCGCGATGATCTACTTTTCATAAAGCAATGAAACGCAATCTCACTAATGTTCGGAAAATAACAAGTAAATCGATATTTAATACGAAAGTAAGTAGGTTACCGGGAGTCATAGAGTTGGCACGTTCAGCAAACGTAAACTTACTTCAGTCATAAAATGAGGAATTTGTGGAAGATCGAGAATTTTGCGGATGTTATGAAACCTTCTTTATTTATTTGTCGTTTGTACGGGCTCTTGCCGTATCGAATGGAGAACGAAAAGATCACGCGATCGAGACTGATAAATATTTACTGTATCGCGTTCACAACTTTATACTTAATATTCTCCATGCTGAATCTGTATATTTTGAATGCATCCTCTTACGTCAAGCGTATCAGCACGTGGATGCTGCAGAGCAATTGCTTTTACGCCTTGGCCAATTTCATTATCGTGTCCAACGCGGCGTTCGGCTCGCAAGTGATAACGATTCTGCGCACCCTCGAGAAAGTAACGAGAAAACTCCCGAAAAGCGAATTGGACAAAGTGGCCAAGTGGATCTGCATCAAGGACTTGATCGTTTACGCCCTGCTGATCGTCCACACGCCAACCCTGTTTTCCGGCGATATTTACAACTGGATAGCGAAAGTCATCGCCAGCTACTCGACGACGGTGATCTACTTGCTGGACTTGCAGTACAGCAGCTACGTCTACATCCTCGGCAGCTGCTTCAAGTTCATCAACGCGGAATTGGCGAGGCTGAAGGACAAGGCCTTCACCGAGAAGGCCCATCTGCTCAGGCGCGTCTATCACCATCGCTTCAATCCCACCTTGTTTGTGAAGCTGCGCCACTTGAAGCAGTGGCACTACGAGCTCAACGAAGCCATCAGAAAAATCAATCTGACGTTCAGTCTGCAGATAATCAGCACGCTAATACTGACTTTCACCGAGCTGACATTCGGTCTGTACTTCAATATTTACGATATGCGCCACAAAAACATTCGCAGTTTAAACAACGAGGTGTGGTACTGTTATTATTATACCCTGGTGGTGTATTACACGCTGAAGCTCTTCCTGCTGACCCTGACTTGTCAGTTTACCAACGACGAGAACGACAAATCTCACATTATCATCAATGAAATATTGATAAATACCGATGACAAGCTATTTAAAGAAGAAGTAATTCCTCCAACTTGTTAATTCTTGCGATTATATTTATTCATAATATTTACGTACGAATCGTCATTGTTGTTTTGCAGCTGTACTTGTTTTCGTTGCAATTGCTTCATACGAATAATACATTTATAGCCAAGGGCGTGAAAATCGATGCCACGCTTTTAACAGCGGTAAATATATATCATTTCAATATTTTTATGAGCTAAAAGCGTCGTATTTCACGCGGGTGGCTACTTTTCTAGATGGCCAAGGGGATCTTCACGTATCTCCTCATACTTATCCAGTTCTTAGTCTCGAGCTGATCCGTAATCCGCAGCCGTCGCCGCTCAGTCGTACGAGGGGTTGCCTACAGCACAGCGTATTTCAATTCACTCGCAGCAGCAGCAGCAATTGCGTCTGTGCATTGTGTAGACTTGTCAAAAGCCACTAAATAAAAACACACTCACGCACGGATCGTGCATCCCGCGCACGTTTCGAATAATTGTGAAATTCATTTATGCATAATCATCGATTGTTGTTTCCATCGTGCCTGTCGACGTGCGCACGCGATAACGCGGCCACGCGCCCATTCACAAACTCGCCGCGTGATTCTCGCGAAAAAAAACACTCTTTTTTACTCCAGATTTACGTAATCGGATTTCGGAATTACAATATCTATGCGCGAGCGGCGGAGCCCATGCGCGAACGCGTGTATTGTTCTTCGTGGAATTTTCGTATTACTCCAAGTGTCGGCAAAACAAATGAATAATAACGGCCTTTTTTTTTATTTTTTTATTATTCATTGTTATTATTTTAATCTCAGTGACTAAGAAGTGCAACAGGGAAGTAAATGCTGTACATACGTCGGCGTCGGCTGCGATCGCGAGCTATATAGCTCTGCAGCATTACTAGGCAAAAGATAATACACCGACGTTGTCACCCGCAACATGATGAATGATTGTAATAAATTGAATTCTCCAGTCGTGTGGCGTTCCTTCATTTTTGCGTAGCTGCTGCGTCGCGACCGATCGATACTACACGCTAGCTGCGAAGAGAGGAGCTCTTGGCGCTTACTCTGGTAACTTTTTTTTTCTCTCTTAATGTTATATCATCGTAAAATCGTCGGCCGTGTTGTTGTACAGAGTCGTCGTCGTCGTCGTCGTCGTCGTCGCTGTCGTAGTAGTCGTCAGCTGACTCCGAGTCTATAGTTCGGGCATCAGTCCAATGTCATTGTGCAAGTGGAGTAGATCTTCGCGTCTAGCGCGCCACACACAACGTACGCTATACGCAGCGGCGGGCGCGTGTAAGTGCGAGCGCGTATTTTCTAACAAACAACTTATAGTCTCGTGCGGGGAGCATAGAGCAACCCAATCGTCGTCGTTGTCGTCGTCGTCGTCGGCGGCGGCGGTGTACGTACGCGCTACCTCGAGCGTTCCGTATTATTATTGTATATATAGAGAGTCTCTAGGCGCCTTCGCACTCGGCTTTACGAGCGTCTGACTCGGCTCGGCTCTGGCAGTTGGGCGCCAGCCGCTGCGCCGTGAACGCGCGACCGACCGACCGACTCCGAGTCTCGTCGTTGTATTACTACCTATATAGATATATAAAATACAAACATACGTCCCCCACGCCAATACGCGCGTGGCTGCTGCTACTCGTGCGGCTCCGTATCATACATACTGATGTATCAGTGAGTACACAACAGACGAGCCAAGCCCGCAATTATTATTTCGTACACGCGTCAAAGATAAAACTTTGCCGATGCTCGGCCGAGTGTGAATAAAGAGAGAGAGAGAGAGGCGGCGCATCGATCGCGAGCAGAGTGCCGATTTTCTGTGAACAAAGATCGAACTTTATATAAATCGAGCAAAATAACACAGATCTGTGGAGATCGCGCGCTCGCGCGAGGTCGTGCACGTGGCTGTTGCACAACTCGCAAGCGGCGGCGCCGCGGCGCACATACATACATAATACCCAGAAACGGATCGATTTTGTTTACTTCCGATGTCGCAGCCGCATTCGCACCTCGATAATTAGAGCAAAGCTGCGACGACGTCTGTTTCTCGCCGATTGCCATAAAGATTAACGTCCAGAGCAGAAAGATATATTGGATGCGACGCGCAGTTATAATCAGTGTAAGTGCTCCTATAAGCAGTTGTTGTTGTCGTCGTCGTCGTCGCGCGACAACGCGATATATTTTCAAAAGTTCGCGCGCCGCCGCTCGAGCTCTTTATAAGCTTACTACGTCGTCATCCTAGACGCGAGTCTCACACGGGCCGTTTAAACTTGGCACATGAACCTTGTGTGCGCGCGCGCGCGTGTGTGTGTGTGTGTGTAGTAGAGGGAGCCGATCTACTACGTAACACCGGCGAGCGTAAATTGCACTACGCGAAAAACGTGTGACTCGCTCTCCGTATGACGTTATTATATTTTGCACGTGCCGCGACGTGCATCGTGTACTATAACACAACAACAACGACGCGCGACGTTACAGAGAGCACGCGGTTGGCGCTCTTTGCGCGTAATTAATATAGTACATCGGTAGACGCGACCGTTTGACTGCACGGCTGGCCACTGCACTGCACTCGCGCGTTTGACGCAGTTGGCTGCGCCACAGCAGCAGCGGCAGCAGCAGCAGAGTACAATGTATGCATGCATTATTTAAAAGTGCACACGCGAGTGACGCGTAAATTCGCTCGTAAAACTACTTTCGTCAGTGCAGCAGAGGCGAGGTATAAGGCGAGCAGCGATCGCCTGCGATCGTTAGAGGGAGAGAATATTTTACCGACTCATCATCGTCATCGCTCGCGTATATAGGAGCCGATCGACTCTGCGCCGCGCTCGCCCCCGCCTACCCCGCCCGCTCGTTCCGTCTTATAAATGTGTTTGTGTGCCGTATACGTAAACGTTCTTGTGCTTTTATAAAACGAGTATAGCTCCCACAAGTATATAGATACGCGTATAATCGTAGCGCGCGCGGACGTGTACAGTTTGTGTGGTGCGTGTTGCGCGCCGAGCACAGGTGAGAGGTGCCTCTGCAGCAGCAGCAGCAGCAGCAGCAACGTGTGTGCCGATTTTTGGGGGATCGCGAGCAGCAGCAGCAACAGTGTGCTCGAGGCAGAGCAGAGAGGAGTCGATTACCTTTCTCTCTGCGCGCCGTTTCGCGTTGTATAGCAGTAGAAAAAGACGAGCGTTAAGCGGAGCTGAAGCGGAGTCGAAGCTCCGAAGAGTATAGTCGCAACGAAATTGAGTCGCGGATCAGCCGCCGCGCGGCAATGACACACGCGGACGCGGACAACGACGTGCTGTGCTGCTGTCTGAGACTCCGCGTTGCCAAGACTACGCTCGTCGAAATTAAGCTGGCCGACAACAAAGTGTTTTTACGATAACAACGACGATCGTCAGTTTTTTCGTTCTCGGTAGCTATAGCTGCTATTGCTGGATTTATGTAATATAATTTAAACACGCGGGTGCGTGTGTTTGTGTGTGCGTTTGTCAGTGTTACGAGTGTAGATATATATCGGAAGCATGCGTCGTTGTATCGACAAGAGCCAGTCGAGTGACGCATTATTGTGCGATGATCGAACGCTGTTTACCGATCATTTACCATACTACTACAATTTTTTGTGACGATTGTGTCTTCATCCAAGTGCTTCTGACGCCGCCGCCACCGCCGCTACTGCCGAAGATAAGCGCGAGCTTGTCATTGAACTCGATCGCACTTGCAGCAGGAAGTAAACGTGCGCGAGCGTGCGTGCGCGTGTGTGTGTGTGTGCTCAGTGCGCGCGTCCTTGTTTGTCGCGCTAGTGAAAAGTTCCCAAGATAATACACGATATACTAAAAACGCAGCGAGTTTTGTGGAGCGCGAACACGCAAAAATAGGCGGAAGTAGATGCCTCCTCGCACTGCTGCGGCGGCTCCAACTACTGCAACTGCCTTTTTGAATTTCTCGCGTCGTCCCACGAGCGAGCGCCCCGAGAAAAACACGCTTGAACGCACAGGTGAGAGACGACGACGAACGAACGGCGATGTCGAAATCGAGTCGACCGTTGTGTTTTCATATATATGTATATAGCATCATCGATGCGCAGCAAAAAAGTGTAAACAGCTCGTCTCGAGCGATCTATAATGATTTCCTCGTTCGCTCGAGCTGTGCGCGCAAGCACTTGCCGCTAGGCTTTAAACGATCGTAGATAAAGTCGTATATTTATTAGCACTTGTTAAGTGTATTATTACACTTTGTTTACGAGTACTGTCCTGATGCTGCTGCTGCTGCCGTCGACGTCGAAGTCGACGGCGACGACGACATGTACACACGTTCCGTGTAAAGCACGGCTCTCGCTACACGGCGAGAGGAACGAAATCTAATCCGTCGGGGCGTTGCGCAACTCGTGTAATGCGATAAGTACAAAAGACACATCGGCGGCGAGTGTCAAAGCAATGTCTAGTTCAGCTGCAGCAGCTTCATCGCGCGTTGCGATGAATTACGATCTCGGGCGGGGGACGAGCTCTCCTCGGGAAAATTTTGAAAGATTTAACAAATAGCTCTTGCAGCGTCTCTTTGGAGTTTGGGCTATTTTTAACCTCGGACTGCAGGAATATGAATTCTCGTGAATTTTTCTTTTTAAATATAAACACACACACGAGCCACTGCGGCTGCTGCTGCTGCTGTTGGGTGTAAAAACTAAACGCTGCATCTCTCTTCGTCCGCGTTTATGTGTTTTCTTACGCGACAGATGTTAAAACCGGTAAAAATGTATATCAGTCACGGGCAGAGAGGCTCGACGAGCTAGTGAAAGAGAGGCGAAGAGCGATACTACATGGAAAACGTCAAGTATAATATCATCGCGGCTCTCGAGAGCAAATACGTAATAATATTGAAATGCTAAAAGTATTTGCAAACATGACACGAGAGAGAGAGAGAGAGAGAGAGGAGGAAAACCTGTATTCCATCACATAGGCGGTACATCAATATTAATGACGTTTTGTCTTTTTTTTTTATTCGTGCCTACGCGTACGCGCTATTTATCAAGGAAAGCAGAGATGAAGCTCTCGCTGCTATACATTTCCGACTCTGACACATTGAATAAGTCAGTGCACAGAGCGCACAAAGCACACATAAATGAATATATCGATCATAATCGCAAGATTTATGTCTCCGTTCGCTCGCTCGGGTCACAGTCAGACGACGAGAGACGTCTCCCGCATCCGAGGAATAGAATGCAAAGTTCAAATTGATTAACAAAGCGATTGGTTACGATTGCCTCGGATAAATTAGAATTGCGCGCGCGATAATAATTGCGCTTGATTAAGCACCGATTCGACCGGTAATAATACAGATAAATAGTGCACGTATGTAGGCGCGCGCGCGCACGGAGGCTGCGCGTAACATTGGCAATAATTCACTAAGCAGCGCGCATAAACATTTCTTTGGCGCAAGTTTCGGAGTAAAGTAAATTTTAAACAAGCATCTTTATTCATAGTGTTTGTTATTTGGAAATTTTCTGTGCGTGTGATGTTTCGCGCGCGCTATCGAAAACGACGCTCGAACGTAATCCATATCGTCGCGCAGCGCACATGCCGAGCGGAAGAAAACAGTTTGTGTTGATTCCAATGCAAAAGAGTAATTTCCTTATGTAATCAACGATCGATTTGCATAAAATCACTCCCGAAGTAAACACTTTTTCTGCGCCGTGGAACTTTTATTACTTTGCGGTTTTGTATATAGTGAAAGCTGCCGAGCGCGAATCGGCGGAATATAAAGTTTTCGAATTGTTTTTTGCGGGATCACGGAACCAGAGCGCGGAATTTCTTATCTTGTAAATAAAGGAAAAAGTAAAAAAAATATATATATACAAGGCGATCACCATTGCATTCTATAATGCAACGAGCGGAATCAATACGCAAAAAAATGTAAATAAGACAGATTAAACGATGCTATTTATCGCGATTGAGATCGGTATGCGCTTTCGTCATTTTTTAGCTCGGTGCAAGGCGCGCGCGCGCCACAACCTGTTATTCATTTTTGCCGGTGCGCCGCGGCAGTGTCCGCTGTATATATTGGTTTATAAATATTAACAATTGACCAGTGCCCAGAGCCAGACTATTCGCGGCTCTCTGATTTCAGGCGGATTAGAGACGCGAGGGATAGAAAGAGAGAGAGAGAGAGAAAGAGAAAGAGAGGTCGGGCACGTTTATTGGTATAACAACAACGACGGCGACTGCAGCATTGGCCGTTATCTGTTATCTCACGCTTCGAGAACTTGAGACTGCACACTCCGCGTGTGTGCATGTGCGCTCGTGTGCATGTATATGTGCACCGACTTTCATTTTCGGCTTTTATTATAATTATACATCCGGATAGTCGAAGTCTCGTCGTCGCCGGGTAGATATTATTATTTTGCATTGTTAGAGCCTTCGCGCGTGCACACACGACACGTATGATGTACGACGCTATCAGTCGCGTATACATACGAATTGTAGATCGTTTTACAAAATTATATAGCTTTCTCTCTGGGACGCCGCCACCGTCACCGCCGCCGACGTCGTCGTACAATTAATATCTCTCTTTCTCGCTCCCTCGCGCGAGCTCTAGCTAGTTTTTTTTTTTTTTTTTACTTCTATTTGCTTCTTGCAGTGACGCGCGAAGTAGAAAGCGCGAAAATGCTTGTACCGTTAATTTTTTTCTTCTTCTTTTATTTTCGAATAATTTGATATTTATTATCAATGGCTGATCTATGCGCCATGGAAAAAGATCGCGCGACGATGAAACGCGCAAAGAAATCGGTATGTATAGTTATTGACTCGCGGTACATGAATAACACTATGACATGCAACAAGTAGCTGCGCACATATATACCTCTTTCGGTCAGGAATGTTGTTATGGGCTTTTTGTCAGCGTCGTATTATAGCGAAGGCTCTAAAAAGACTTTTGTTCCCGAAGCGCGCGTATACAGGCACAGGTTCGTGTTATTTATGGAAAAAAGAAGGAAATAAGAAAAAGGCCATAAACGTCGAAATTCATTCTTGACTCGGGCAAATGCCTCGGCTCGTCTATACCACCTCTATAATGAAATCCTGTTCATTAAAATTAATGATTTACAATGTCTGCCGCTGCTGCCACGTTGCGCGCGAGACATAAAAGTAGATTAAATAATGATATTCGGGCGCGCAATTTCCTCACCGAAGACTGCGGCGAAATGAAACTCGGCCGGGTGAGCGCGCGGGGCCTATTTACATACGATTTTATGACCTTATTAACTTTTTATCATCGTCATCAGCGGCTTTCGGTCTGCTCGTGCACTTGCACACACACACACACACGCGCGCGCATGCATCAGCCGGCGTATAACGTACTGTATAATATTAACGTGTACATCAGACAATCTATTTTCAAAATTCGCCAACGTATAATCATCGTCTAACAATATCGTCGTCGACGAGTTCTTCGCGGTCGTTTCGCGTCTTTGTTTTGCCTCGTCGTCGTCTTTCGCATTTTATATACTTATATATCTGTCCGCGCCGTCCGTGGCGGCGAGTGGGTGGGTTGGAAAAACCACATCAGATTCGCACATGTACCTTGCGATGAGGATCATTAAGCTTTACATGCGCGCATCATGAGACGACGACGACGACGAGACCGAAGAGTCAGCAGCAGCCGCACATCATACGAAGCGAGACAGACGCGTGTAAACGCATAAGCGTACATCACGCACAGCGCACGCATTCACCGTGCTATTTGTGCAAGGGCGTTGCTCGGGCCGCGCGCGCGCGCGCGGGGACGAGCTTTTTTATTCTCCCGATGATGCACACGGCCTGCTGCTGCTGCTGCTCTGTGTGGCGCGCACTTTTATGACCGGATAGCTATATTTTCTATATATAAGCAGCGGGGGTATACGGACTCTCAGCTGTTGCATAAGTCGACCGCAGCTGCTGCTGGAAAATATTCGATTATCACCATGGGTAGATTCAATTTTCTAATTTACAATAAATATCGGCAGCTCGCTGTATGCCCGCACGCGTGCAGAATCAAAATTCCGATCCTCGAAGCTATATGCTGCTACTCCAGCGGAGTTCGACGCGGGACGAAATTCATTACGGTCATTAAAAGTCCGCGAGCTCAGACGGGCGCACGTGAACGGTATTATTAAGCTGCGCGCGCACAAAACTCTCTTTCGCGATTACGATCGCCGTTAATGAAAGATTGACGCGCAGAAGAGCAGCGGTACAGAAGAAGAGAAGAAGTAGGAGCGGGTGCCTGCAAAAAAGAATGTCTTTGTCCCTGACTTTTGTTGCTGCTGCTGCTGCAGTCAGGCTCGCTTATGCTCTATTGTTTTTGCTCCGCATACACATCGCGCAGACTCGCAACGAGTATCAGAATTTTTCCGAGTAATTATCATCGTCGATTCATTACATGTCCATCGTAACACGCCGTCTGGCCGCGTCGCGTATTCGTACCGATATAGAACGTACTTGACATTACACGTGTTATACATCGGCTCGAAATTCAACGCTACCATATAAATTGATCGCGAGCGCGCGCAAAAATACCGCACACGCAGCCGCCCGTGTGCCCGAACAGCTATATTAGCAGGAGGAACACACGCACGCGCGAATCCGAGAACGCGCTACTATACGTACGCGCGGCGTGCACCTGCGGCGCTGCGCGAGCCAAAAATAAATATTTTTTTGCCAGTCGTTATCAAACGAAAATAATATCGTTATCGCATCGTGTGTATAGCATATATTATACATGTATACAAGTCGCATGAGAGCTCGTGTAACCACAGGGGGGGAATTACGCGAGTCGCGCGTATACGAGCCGGCACATTTTGTAAAATTATTATCATCCAAAGGCAAAAAAAAAAACAACATCGAAGAGAGAATGAGGCGTACTATATTATATACCTATATATACCATAATAGCACGTAGCTCTCACGCGCCCGTGCACGCGATAAACCGCCGTAGTCGTCGTCGTCGTGGCCGTAATATAACTTTCGT